TGCTGAAAATTAATTAATTATGCAAATTAGGTAATTAATATGAACTGATATTACCATAAAAACTATCAGGTCTGTGCAGTGTCATATGACATCTATGTACCAAGTTTCATTGAAATGTGATAATTAGTACTTGAGATATCAGTGGAAAAAACGAAAATTGACTAATCATTATGCAAATTAGGTAATTAGTATCCACGGATTATTACCAAAAACTAATCAAAACCTAGCATTAGTTCAGAGCATGTATGTACAAAGTTTCATCAAAATCCAATGAGTGGTTCTTTAGATATTAGTGGAACAGTCATAGAACAGCTAAAAATTAGCTAATTATAATGCAAATTAGGTAATTAATGAGCATGGATTTTTACCAAAACCCAATCAAATCTGCGTATTGGCCCAGAGCATCTATGCACCAAGTTTCATTAAAAACCGATGTATGGTTCTTGAGATAGCAGTGGAACAGTCGGACACACATACACACACACATACATACACACACACACACAGACACACTAACTGCAAAGACTCCCATTTTGTGCTTCGCACATGGGAGTCAAATAACAAACAAACAAACAAACAAACAAATAAATAAATAAATAAATAATATACTGCAGTGTTACTGAATCATACTTTGTTCACTTATCATTTCACTCACCTTGGTCTGTCTGTCACTAGATGTGGTTGCCAACTCAACAACTCTTGGCAGAAAGGGATCTATAAGAAAAGTGATTAATGTGTTTATCAATAGTAAGATAAATATTTAAATATACTTAAAGGGGCTCCACTGATTGTTAGTTAGGCTGAGAAAATACCATGCACAGTTAGTTATCAAATTTATGATATATAGTTTGTTTATAGTATATAGGAACATAAACATGTCAGAAGTATGGATCCAGAAGATGATGCTTGATCATGATTATTTTTTAACATTAAAATGATTAACATCTTGTATCTGATCGTCAAACGAGTACTTGTCCATATTGAGAAATATTGCTCTGGAACAGCATTAATTAAAACAAAATGGCCGCCAGTAAGCCATTTTCAATCCAATCTCAAAAATAAAATGATGTGCATCAGGAACCCATAATGTCCAATGTATGTACCATGTGCGAAACAAATCTATCCATAAACGCCAAGATCCAGTTCTGGAATGCCAGAAATACTTGATTTTTGAAGATTTTTTAGCACTAAAATGGCTGCCATTTGGCCATTTTGAATCAGATAGTCAAACCAATACATC